AACTTTTACAAACCGTCACAAATACTTGAAAAGTGTCACTAATATATATACTTTTAGAGAAGCTTTGCATAAAAAATTGACTAACCTTTAGAGAAGTTTTGAAAGTGTATCTAAAGCTTCAAATAAGCGTCTCTAATGGCTAACAAAAACACACCCTCCGAAAACCCTCTCTAAAACCTTTACCTACCGCTACACAAAGAAGCTCTTTGACAAAATTGAAAAGCTTATCTAAAGGCTTTAGAGAAGCTTTTAAGACTTTTAAATACAAAACAATACCTTCTCTGAAGGTCATTTTTCTTGTAGTGATTATTCGGTTCGTATATCGGGTTGGATACAGTGGTTAATAAAAAAAACAATAATTAGTATTAGAGTTTTTAAATAACATAGAACTGTTTATGACGAGTACTTAAATATAAAATAATCAGGTTAAAAATACATCAAAACTGCGCTAAAGTGTTGTAGAAAAGGATGGCATGCTTTTCCTAGAGTTTCTTCATGAATCCTCAGTTTTGATTTGTTTTGATCCGGTTTTGGCTTCACTTTTCATCGAAGAGACCAACCAACTACCTAATATTATGTACGTCGCTCATTAAACAGAGTTGTTTTCATGTTTTTACAAATTTTGGTCAATGGTTATCTTATTAGCGAGTTCAAACACGTGTTGGATCGAATGTTATAATTTTTTGAGTCGTGCGTAATTAATATAAAAAGGGTTACGTGCAGATAAAGGATAAAGGTGATTGATGCTTTTGTGTAATACATTACATGCCATTGATTCATAGGTTTTGTAGCTATAAATATGGAAAACGTGTGCAGACTGCAGATAGACCGCAAGCATTTTTCTTATTCATTACACTGTTCAAGAACAGCATAGAAAAAAGATATGATGAATCAAGAAGTCCTGGATCAGAGGTTTTCAAGTTGTCGAGGTGTATCCTTTGAGATCCAACCACATAAGGATCCATTCGCCATTGATTCACCTGGAGCTAGTCGACGTATTTGGTTTCCATGGGAGTCTTCTAACAAAATCATGCCAACTTCGGGTGCTTTCATCAGCTCGAGGTCCCCTAGCAGAGCCAGTAGTCATTTCTGTGACTTAGAAACCGATTATGAAGATGATGGGGATAGCATTCTGATCAACATAGAAGAAGGCTACGAGTTAGACGACAAGCACGAGCTTCCCCTTCCAGTTTCAATTCCAGAAGTGCTCCCACAAGCTCCCAGCAAAAAGATTCTTTCTAAGCCAACAAAACCGAAAGACTCAAGATTGTCAGTGATATTGCTTGATCAAGGCTTGTTTACAGTCTATAAGAGACTCTTTATGGTTTGCTTGGCTCTCAACATTACAGGGTTAGTTCTTGCTGCCACGGGTCATTTTTCATACGCAAGAAACCACGCCACTCTTTTCTCTATCGGAAACCTTCTGGCTTTGACACTATGTCGAAGCGAAGCCTTCTTACGCATCGTGTTCTGGCTCGCGGTTAATATCCTCGGCCATCCTTGGGTGCCTTTATGCCTCAAAACCGTTACCACCTCTTTACTTCAATCTTTAGGTGGGATACACAGTAGTTGTGGCCTTTCTTCGGTTTCATGGCTTACGTATTCTTTAGTTCTTACTCTTAAAGACAGAGACAACACTTCTAATGAGATAATTGGTGTGGCTTCCGCCATCCTCTCCCTTCTCTGCCTGTGTTGTCTGGCGGCGTTTCCCCTCGTCCGCCACCTCCACCATAATGTGTTTGAAAGAACTCATCGGTTTGCAGGCTGGGTATCCTTGATCCTCCTTTGGGCATTTATTGTACTCACAAAATCTTATGAGCCCGAGACCAAATCTTACAAGAAAGACGTGGGATCAAGATTGGTTAAAGAGCAAGAATTCTGGTTCACCTTGGTCACAACCATACTAATCATCATCCCATGGGTGACCGTGAGGCGGGTTGCTGTCAAGGTCTCCGCCCCATCAGGTCATGCTTCGATTATTAAATTCGCGGGAGGAGTGAAACCAGGGATTCTAGGTCGGATAAGTCCATCACCGATGTCCGAATGGCATGCTTTTGGAATCATTTCTGATGGAAATGAAGAGCACATGATGCTAGCAGGTGCAGTGGGAGACTTCACAAAATCCCTAGTCTCAAACCCGCCCAGCCACTTATGGGTCCGACAAGTCCATTTCGCTGGTCTGCCTTACCTGGTTAACATGTACAACCGAGTCTTGGTGGTGGCAACCAGCTCTGGTATTTGCGTCTTTCTGTCATTCTTGCTGCAACAAGGTCCAGCGGAAGTGTGTTTATTGTGGGTAGCAAAAGGGATAGAACAGAATTTTGGGAAAGAAATAAAGGAATGGGTAAGTCGGCATCCGAAGGAGAAGGTTATAGTTCACGACACGGCGGTGATGGGGCGGCCGAATGTCTCCGAGATGAGTATCGCAGCGGCAAGGAACTGGGGAGCGGAGGTTGTGATCGTAACGAGTAATCCCGAAGGGAGTAGGGATGTGGTGAATGCATGCAAGGGTAAAGGGATCCCCGCTTTCGGTCCTATTTGGGATTCTTAGACATTTAGCAAATAGGATGAAACTTTCAAATTATTTCATATATATATATATATAACTTGTGGCTGTATTGAGGAATGAGAAGCAAGCAAATAATACGAATAAAATCCATTAGAGAATGGATAATTCCATTCCTAATTAAGTGATAAAAAACAATGCTATATTCTGTTTTGTTTGATTCCATATATATATATATATGATGATGATCGTTTTAATTCTGGTAAATTACACAAAAATAATTTCATTTTTAAAATTGCTTAATTCGTGGTAATTCATGAACTGGTCCACACCACTTAATACGTCCCCGAGATCCGATTTCAAACATTAATGTTTCTCTCTTAATATGTACCGTGTTCTTAGAAACACTGTTGTTTTCTAGTTTCTATGAGATATGAGCATAGACAGACCTAGAAGGGTAGTTAGGTGGCACATGACACCGTATTGTTCTTTCGTGGTAAGGTAAAAAAATTTAGGTTCGTGAAAAGTACAACCATTTTATTGTAGAAGGTGCAACCGTTTTATATGGTACCACCGTATCCAAAAATTCTTGGATCCGTCCCTAATATGAGAATTAGAATAAGAACGAATTAGTTACATACTTAATTTTATGCTATCTTTAGGCTTCAAACATAGTAACTTGTTTCGAACAAAACTCATAATCAGTATTACGTCTTAAATATACATAATTAGCTTAAAAATACATTCAAACTCCCTAAAGTGTTGGTGAAAAAGAGCACATGCTTTTCTATGGTTTTGAGGGTTTCTATAACGAAACCCTTTTAAGTAGTTTATATATTTGAAATGATGTCATATAGGTATGGTTGAAACCGTTATAGCATCTTCGGATTCCTTTCGTCACTTTTCATTCTTGCTCCAACATGACCTAAAATTCAACGATTATCAATGGAGCTGTTTTACCCTATGGATCGACTTCAAGATTAGAATTTATGAAACAATTATATTAAAACTTATCTTATTATCATCGTTCAACATGTGCTTCCGCTACCAAAAAAAATGGGCATATGTTGACGTGAGACCAAGGGTTTTCCGTAAGAACCATAAGACCAATTTATGTGCATTGATCAAGTTTATAAGCTGATGATCTGATATGGTTAAAATCTAGCATCAGTTTTGAATGTGCAAGGGTGTTATCAACCATCTAGTTTTCCTTTTTTTGACACACGATAGAAAATAGGCGATTGAATATCTCTATCGATGTCGTCTTGCTTCTTTGATTGAACATCTACGATTCATTACTCTCGGCGTCATTGTTTCTATCACCCACAATGCAAACTTCATCCACGATGTTGATTTCAATAGAAAATTACCATTGATTTTGCCTAAATTCTGCACTAAACTACTCTACTTTAATACAAAGTAAGAAAATATTGTACATATATATATATACATAATTTGTTTATCTTTAAGTTTCTTGCTTTCTTCATAAGATAGTTGAAGAGAATGTCTGCTTTAATCTAGGGTTTACGATATTTGAATTTTAGGTAAAAGAATGTCTAATGATGGTGATCAAAAAATTATCTCGAATAACAATTTAAACAATGCATAGGCTAATCATGGTCATTAGTTTACATTGAATAATCGTTTTTTTTTTTTGTGAAGTTTCATTAATAAATGTTTTTACGTATTTTGGTTCAAGGGGAAAGAATGTCTAATGAAGATAGTCTCGAAAGCATCTTAAATGATGCTTATGATGGTGAACAATGTAATCAAGGTCATTGGTTGATTTTGATTGATTGTTTCATTGTAAAGGTTCTTATATTGAATATGCTTGTGATCTTTAAGGAATATCTTAACACTAAAGCTTTCACACACATTTTAGTCCCTCTTAGTACAAGTAACCACTTGATTAAGTGTAACAATTGGATCTTTGGTATCTATAATTTCAAGTTTTACATGTATTTTAGCCTTACAATCTTCCACCGTCGCTATGCATGAAACGCAAATACATATTTTGATGTCATTGCTAATTCAGGGTCCCGAACAACCCAAGAATGACATTGATGTGTATTTGGCCCACTAATTGAAGACTTGAAAGAATTGTGGAATCAAGGTGTTGAAGTGTATGATGCATATGGGAAGGAACGTTTCCTACTACGAGCCATGGTATTTAGCACCATAAATGATGTTCCGGCTTATTGGAATTTGTCGGGATACAACACCAAAGGAGAAAAAGCATGTCCTTGGCACTACGAACGTTGACTAAAAAGTTGAAGCCCTTGCCGAAAGAAATACAAGATCAACCAACTGTGATGAAAGACTTGTTTAAACGCCTACGTTCCAACCCACAATGGGTGAAGAATGGGGTTACGATTCAGGTGGAGGCAAGGGTCTTTGGCACTACGAATATGTCAATTGGAGTTATTAATAACGAAGGATTAGCTCGATCAGAATATTATCACTTGGTTCATGACGCAAGTTATTACTTATGTATGTCTTATCTATTATTGTGTGTACATATGTTCACAATCCTTTTAATCATATTGTAATATTTTTTAGGGATTTATATATGATGGTATCACAAAATCCAAAGAACCGTTATGCATTCATTGCCCTGGGAGCAATTAATGAACCAACGATTGAACAAGAGGGTCCCTTTGCCATGGAGACAATTTTCAAAACGATGATGCACAACATAGATAAGGATTTTTTTTTCGCACCGTAAGGACAAGGGTGAGTTATATATATATATATATATATATATATATATATATATATATATATATATATATATATATATATA